TTTTTTTCATATTTCTTAAGTATTGTTTGAATGATTTCAATGTTCAAAATGGAAAGAACAGAAGCAGTGATTAATGGGTAAAGAAGCAATTCTTAGTGGTTTTCATTTGTTTGGCTAGAAGGGTGTTTGGATGCTGAGAAAATATTTTCTGTTTGAACATGGCAAAACGTTTTATCCATGTTATTACTTTTTTAAATTTTACGCTCCACATCATAAAAAAAATATAAAAAATGCCACATATGCAGAGTTAACGGTGAAAATTAACAGAAGGACTAATGGTGTGCATTTGTTAGAGTTGAGGGATAAAAAAAGTGCAAAAAATTGTTGAGGGATCAAAAATGTGCATTTTCTTTAAGTTAAGGAACCAAATTTAGCATTTAACCTTTAGTTTACAAAGTGAACTCTTAAGAGAATCATGTAATATTAAATGAGTTGATGTATACGGAATTAACATGTTCACTAACTAAAAAAAAAAAAGATAATCATATTATTATTTCTAGTTAGGATTATAGGAAAATATAATGTGTGAATAATTTTGTAATGTGATTAAATTTTTTTTTGTTCTATTTAGAAAGAAATTATGGTTGACTAAGGCTTCGTTTAATATGATTATAATTTTTTATTTTGATTTTTATAAAATTTATAATTGTAAACAAAAAAAACTTGTTTAATTAGTTTGATGTGTTCTTGTACTATATTAATATGATTATTATAAACGTAAAAATTAAATTATTTTTAATATTATTAAATAAGTTTATATTTTTAGGTGTTAAAATTTGTTGTAAGTTTTGTTTTTCAGTAGCTCTTAAATTTATAAAAATCAAAATTAAAAATCAAAAACTACAATTATATTAAACAAAACTTAAGTATATTTTGATAATGAGATTAAATTTTCTAATTTAATTTTATTTATTTTATTCTCTTTAGTTTTTTTCTAATTACCTTAATTTGACTTTTTTTTATAAAATTTGACTAAATAATTTTATATAATAAATATATGATCATTGAAAATTTTTTTCTTATACATAGTACTTG